GGGACTAGGTGTCCTTCATTATATAAAATTCTTTTAATTTTTTACTTTATTTTATTTATATAAATTTTTATTTTTACGTTTTAATCAGAGGGAATTTAATGGTGAATTAACTGAGCTAGATATTTTATTTTCTCAACTACTAACTCAGTTATAACTTTCACTTTCTTTTTTTTCTCTTCTTTAATATATTAATAATATCAGAATTTGAAAAAAAAATAAGGGAAACCATTTTTCTCTCTTATTAATTAAAATTATATGTAACTTATTATTAAATATATGAATAAACACAAAAACTCTGGGGTCTCTACTTCTTTCCTGTAGTTTGGAGGCATTTAACCTTGCTCCAAAGATCAAAGAAATTTTTGAAAGTCTTTTGTGTTCATGGACTGATCCAATCCAATTTTCCAGAGAAAATAACGTTGAACACCTCTTGTATAAGATGATGCCTTATACATATTCCAGAAAAAGGAATATTACATTTATTCTTTCGATTCTACTCTTTTGGTTATCATATTAATTTATTCTCTATAATTATATATAATGCAGATTACATGAAAAGGAACATGAATTATAGGATGAAAGACATCTTAAATTGAACGATTCTAGTTTTATGATATCATTGTTTTTGCCAAATATGTTAAGATAGTTTTATAAATATTGAATTTCCAGACAAAGAACCGGTAATTTTTTTAATAATCAAAAATTTAATAAAATGTTAGAGAAAATAAATGCAATCGTTGTATTTGGTTCAAATTGTTGAAATGGTTCATTGGTTTGAGTCTGAGTCACATAATTAGTCGAACTGGGTCGTAAATAAGCTCTAGAAGAAAGAATACCAAAACACAGTACAAGTGTAAAGAGTGACGAAGAACCTTTAAACTACTACTTTTAATAAAATATAAAATATTGCTTCTTATTAATAATTAATTACTGTTTAGTTTAATTCTGACAGATTTATAGATAAATTCCAGCAAGCCTCTTGAACTATATGTTATTTAAAGAACATATTAAAAAGATAAATTGCATCGCCTAAATAAAAGAACGAAAAAGAAAATTAATTTCACGCGGGGGTGACTTGAGAAGAGGTTGATGGGATCAATCAAAGCAAATAATTTGATGTTTGGATGCTCAAATCAAAGCCTTTTTCAAAACTTATACAAACTTAGTTGATAACTCATCACGGAAATGGATATCATAATGATAAAGACAGAAGTGATGATTATAATAAATGTGGTGGCAGCCCTTCTGCATCATCCTCGTCAAAATTTAAAATGAAAGAAAGATCATCAAGTTACCATCCATACAAAAGATAATATTAGTACCATGAGATGTTAGTCTTATGTTATGAATGAAACATAAAATAATCATTCTATTTGATTGGCCCTAAGCAATGATCATTTATTATTTCGGCTAACATCTATGGTATCATCAACAGTGGTTACTGACGCAATTTTTAAATTATGAAAGTCATAGTTTATAAAGAACAATATTCAAGAGAAATAGATATATTGAAAGAGTTTTATGACCTAATAAATTAAAACATTTAAAGGAGAAGAGTGCATTTAATTGGATGAATGATGATGATACAATGCAAACGTAAATTTTTAAATTATTTTAATAAATAATTCTCGCAAAATGGACCAACTGCAAAAATCATCATGATGCATCAATCATCTTCTAAACGTTGGAAGATACATCTGATAAGAATATTATCTACCATCATTATTACTTAAACATCTCGAACAAGGTGCACAGAAAACAGTTGGCTTCATTATATAGATGAACCTTTAGAAGAGATTTTAATAGTAAAATTTAAAAATATAATGGATCAAGGGTAAGAAACTTATTAAGAGCATTAAGAAGTAACTGTTTTGTATATGTTCAAAAAATGGCATTGTGAAAATCTTTCATATGATGTAAAAAATGATTAAAAAAAATTTCAGATAAGTTATTTTTTTATTTTTATATCAAGATTCGTTAATTCTCCATGTGTATTATGTAATATCGGGTTCAAAATCGAGTGTGTTTGAAAAATAATAATATTAATGATCACCATCAAAAACTTGATACAGTTCCTAGCAGCAATCTCCCAATGTTTTTGTGTAGGAACAGGTGGTACAAGTGCTTTTAATGCTTTATTCACCTCTTCAAGTATAGCATCTAAACCCTGGTGTTGAGACATCCATCCAGACCTAGACACAACAGAATTTTGTTCAATGATCTGATGAACTTCAGGACAAAGGCGTAATTGTTGTTCTTCATCAGGCGTTTGCAAATCAGGTGTTTGCAAATATTTGAGGAAATTATCATTTGAAATTATTTGATTATAGTGTCCTTCACAAAGAGAATAATTTTCTAAAAACCCTATCAATAAAGATAATTCTGGAAAATAGTTAGTAAAACATTTTATACGTTTCATTACCAAGCTTCCAGATGCATGCCTCCAATGTTGATTAAGTTTGGTTTCGCATAATTTCAATTTTTTTTCAGAATATTTCTCAGTAAGAGCTGCAAATAAGCATGGCAAACTACTCGCTGATGAATTTGACACTGAAAAGTGTAAAAAAAATACAAAATTTTAGCATAAAAAGCAACAAATTTGGACTTCTAGTAGATAAATTCTCAATTTTAAGTAAAAGCATACTTTGAGTAAATTAATGGATTAAGAAAAACGTTTAGTGGATTAAGAAAGTAAAAGTTTAAAGGTATTTATTTCAATTATTATAATAAGGGTTTGTTTTTAAAAAAAAAATTTCCAAAGGTACAAAGTATCACGTTGGCTCGTTTGTAACATACAAAACATATATGAATTGATCAACAAAGTGGCGTAAATTCTACTTCCAAATTTGGAAAGAACCCTGACTGAAATATGGTGAAAATGTTGATCATGCCAAAAACTGAAAAGACCAGGCATGGCTAGATGCAAAAAGAGACAATCAGTAAGAAAACTGCACAGAAGTCGCACAACTTGCAAGTTTTGGAAGGAGATCGTGACATGGCGATGTTAAATCTTTTTTTTTGTGTTAAATAGGAATAAACACACAGTTATTTGGGAAATTATTGCTCCTATCAGTCAGACAAGATTTCACATTTACTAGTGTTCTGTGTCGCAATCAAAAAAGGAAACCAAAGTAGTTGCAAAGGTGGTTGCAACCATCACCAAGAATTGCGACCAGCATCTAGAGCATTTACTGATTTTACTATATGATTGACATAGCATGTTTTCTGTACAACAGACTTTGAAGGAAGAATTGAATACAAGATTATCAATAAACAATTTTTATGCTTCTGAATAAATAGAATCTTGTGCTTTTGTTCATTTAAATTCAATTTTTTACTTGTCAATAGCTTGTTTTGTTATAGCACAATAGCTTCCCAAAGAGACCCATACTTTTTGACTTTAAAGGTCTAATTATTTATGAAAAACAATTCTATTAAGATCATTTTAGCATCATAAGATAAAGTACATTGAGAACTCTCAGAAAATATATGGTTTGTTTGGTTTTCTTGGAGGTGGAAGAAATTAAAGGCAAAAAACAATTTTATAAGTTATTTATGACTATTTTACATTAGTATTAAATTTTTTTTTTAATTAGATCATTATACTAATTTTATTGAATTATCTAATTTAGATAGAATACATTGAAGAAGTAAT